ATAAGGCTAAGCCTAATTATGCTAAGAGGACTGTGCCCTCTAAGCTGGCAATTGTTTATGACTTTGCCCACAGGTCAGTCCGAGGCTTAACCCTATATCAGCTGCCCACACCCTTCGTCTGGCCATTCGCTGGGGGCTTCTCGAGCACTTCCTTGGGTTCGGAAAAGGCAGGGGCAGGGGCAGGTGTGCGGCCATGGGGAGTGCCCTGGCTTCGTATACCAGTTTGTTCCTGTGACCCTTAGTGGGGTGTGTCCCTGGCCTGATCCCTACTTTAAGTGTCCTCATTCGGAGAATAGGGGGTGGTGGGGGAGGGAAGCCCAGTGGTGCCTGATGCTCCGTGTTCCGTGGGATCTGTGCCCCCAGATGTCAACGATCTTCTGAAGTTTATTCGGCCACTGCATGAAGGCACCCTGGTGTTTGTGGCATCTTACGACGACCCCGCCACCAAGTAAGTGCTTGCCCGGGCCAGCCTCAGCCTTGCCCTCCTATGGCGACCACTCACACCTTCTCCTTCTGTGCGGCAGGATGAACGAAGAGACCAGGAAGCTTTTCAGCGATTTGGGCAGCAAGAATGTCAAGGACCTAGCCTTCCGGGACAGCTGGGTGTTTGTGGGGGCCAAGGGTGTGCAGAACAAGAGCCCCTTTGAGCAGGTATGGGGCGGTGGGGGAGGCTGGCAACTCCACTTCCCAGACCAGGGCAGCTGGCCCGGGCTTTCTGCCCGCATCTCATGAGGTTCCCTTCTGTTCGTGCTGTAGCCTTCCCTAAATCCTGCCCCTACACCCCACCCAAGGCAGTCCTGGCCCCCTCCCGGTCTGTCCTGTATGGATTTTACCCTAAAGGGTCTTTATTTTTATTTTTTCAAGTATTAATTTCTTGAAATTTTTTATTTATTTTTATTTATTTCCAAGAGGAAGGGAGAGGGAGAGAGAGATAGAACCATCAATGATGAGAGAGAATCACTGATCAGCTGCCTCCTGCATGCCCCCCACCTGGGACCGAGCCGGCAACCTGGGCATGTGCCCTGACCAGTAATTGCACCATGACCTCCTGGTTCATAGGTCGATGCTCAACCACTGAGCCCGCCGGCCAGGCCCTAAAGAGTCTCCGAGTGTTGCACACTGGCAACACTCACAAGTAAGAAACTCGCCTCCTAAACATCTTCAAGATGCTTGGTCCTCTCATCCTCCCGAAACCCAATACCCAGATTCACGCTGCATGCCCTTCTGCACCAGCCTGGCTGCTGTCTGGCTCATGGCTCCTCTGGGGTCATCCGTGTCAGGCTCCATGCAAGGGGCTGGGAAGCCCCAGGTGACATCCTCATTGTTGGGAGGCTCCCCGTTCTGTGAAAGCCATGGTGTCCCCAAGCCCTGCTCCCCACAGCAGGACTAAAGAAATAGCCTCCACTGATTTCTGGAAGCTTCTGGTTACCAAAAGAGCAGCTT